TTGATTTTCAGTACTTATTGCTTGCCAGTTCTGTTCAACTGCATGGTATCAAGCCCTAGTCTGGCTTTATATATAATCTCATGACATAATCATCAATCTTATATAATCTCATCACAGAGTATTTCTTTGAGCTGCGAGTACATCTAATTTGTCTGTGGATTTTGTTCTCTGATCTTAAAATGTGGCAGCAACAGTTTTAAGTGTATTATTTAATTGCATGCCTAAATAAAACTCTTGAAAGCGTTTTCTCATGGTCCCTGTGATACATTTAGCACCAACACAAAGTTGCCCAGAAGTGTGGGGGGTTGGCTTTTAGTTGGGTTTTTTAGGTGACCAAAAGGCAACTTTAAGAAACAGTGGCCAAGACAGTTAACCTCAGACTCAGTTTCAGAGCGAGCAACCACGAAGCTGAAACAATTCACCCAGAAAAGGCTCATTTCATCCATATTTCTGTTTGTAACTTCCAATGGTCTCAGCACATCCTCTAACGGTATTTTAGACCATTCTTATGAACTCAGTTCCTGGATAGGAAGAGTACTGTGCAATCTCACAGGGCTACCTGCAACAGATGCAGGAGAAGAGACCAGAACTGGGTGCTGATGCTCAGGGATGTTCCTGACCAGCCTCTCCCATGGACTGCAAATAATAACATTTTAACTCTTCTGGGAAAACTAAATAGGAATGAGAAACTGTAGAACCACTTACCCACTACAGTTTTGCCCTCCTGCTTATGTCCACAGACCAACAAACATCTTATTATGCCATTATTTCCTCTGCTAAGCCAAAGCAGTGCTGTGCTCAAACTCACATCGCAGCACCTGCAGCTCTGCCTTTTCCCCTCTGCACTTTAATCTGAACTTCCATGACTGTGACAGGATGTAGTAGTCTTGGCAAAGACTAACTCATCTAATTTACAATAGTACTCCAAGACAATCACAGTATCTTGAAATTAAGAACCATCCAGAAATTAAGACACACCAGTTTTTAGTCATCTCACAGGAAAAACAAAATGAATCTACTCTGATGTTTGTCAACCTGTTTTTGTTTGTAATCAAATTAAAATCTGACTCTGTTTCCATTCTTCAACAAGCTATTATGAATTACTTGTACTCAGGCAGCAATCACACACCTCTTCCTGATGCAGGGCCCTGTTGAGCTGCTTACCCTAAACACAAACAGCTGTCAACAGAAGTTGCTGTGTGTACCTGCCACAGACTCAGATTCTGGTGCACGTGCAGAGCCTGCCTTGGCACATCCATCTCTCAAAACCTCATACGAGAAACAAGATCCAAACCCTGACATAGCCCAGACCAAAGCAAGTAAGCCTGAAGTTCACTAAGCCCTGAGACTGAGAACTTCTAAGTAGCCAGAGGTGTCTGTAAAGTGGAAACCACTCAGCAGGAAGCTGTGCCACGGCTGGAGAGCAGTGCCAATGCTGGGGAAGTCCTGGTCACCAGCACAGGACAGCAGGAGGCTCCTGGTGACACTTTAGGTAGATGCCTATCACAGGAGAGACTGGGAGAGAATGAAGAAAGAGAGAAGCCAGAGCACACACAATATATGGGAGCAGCAAATAAATATGCCAATATCCACATACCAGGAAAGATGCTACCCAATTCACACAAAAAGCAGAGAGGCTCTTGCTGGCTGCAGCTCTGGTGCCTCATGCAAGGATAGCAGAGAGCAGGCTCCAGCTTTTTGTTTTGGAAACTCTCAGTCTCCTTGACTCATCTCTGCTACAGACCTAAACAGACTTTAAGTCTATTCTGCCCTCTTCTGTACCTGGGGCAAATACAAGGGCAAAACCCACCCAGAACAAATGACAAGATTTTAGCTAACAGGGTTAACAATAATCTTTCTTAGGTGTCAAAAGGATAAGAAAGGAGACATCTCTTTGCTGTTACAAAGCACTGCAATCTGCTATAGCTCTATGAAGGGCTAAATTTAAGACACCATAAAGACAAGATGTATTATTTTAGGTTGGCTTTGGATAAATTTTCCCCTTTTTTAATCCATAAATCCAACATGCCTTTCCAGAATAATCAGTACCAGACAAGCTTAAAGGACGTCTCCTCTCAACTGCAAAATAAACCAAGAGTTTGGATCTTATTAGTGAAACACATAACTAACCTTACATCTGACACCAACCAGTTTAACTAATTATCTTTGATGTTACTTTTGAGAGAGGAAATGGTTTATGGAAGTGTGCCATGGCTCCACAGGCCACTGCACTGGCAAAATACAATACTGCAGGATGGTACTACAGGATGGGCATGTCAGTCTCTTAATTTTTGTACTTATCTGATCTCCAAGCAGAGGCTTAATCTCAGGGAAGCTGCTGGGAGGGAGGTCAGAACTGCACCAGGCTGGTAAGTCAGAACCAGAGCCCCACTGCAATCATTTCCTATGCTCACTCAATCTTTTCAATCAAAATGGCACTTCTGACTTCCCACAGAATGCTGAACTGAGCTTAGGCAGTCAGTGCTATGTGCAGCACGCTGCATCCTCCCACATTCAAAATCCTGTAGGAAAGTTGGGCAGGAGTTACTTGCTTTGGGCTAAAGCTCATCTACAGGTGTGTACTGCACTTGCATTGAGTGAAGCAGTGAGTGAAACCAGCCTCCAGTTCCCACCGCCATGGGAGAGCATGAGGCCCAGTAACAGGAATTAGGCCTCCACACAGCTTACCAGAAAACATCAGCTCTTTTTTGAAGGAATTAATTCTACTGAACTTTGGTAAAAAAGTGAGTGGCTGTAGCAAAACGGTCTGCATAAAGGGTAAAATAAAAAAGGGAAAATCAGATGAGCACTGGATAGAAAATCCAAGAGATTACCAAAAGCATCAGGACAAAGCAAAGACTAAAAACCTGAAAAAATCACACCTGTTTGAAGTCTAGAGCTAAAGTCTGGCACACAGTGAACAGCTTGCAAGCTTGCCTCTGGGATGGCTGGGGAATACACAACCCATGCTCAGTTCAAGGCAAGTTAAGACTTAGGCCCTTTATTATTGCTTCTGATAGGCTCTTCATTTCAGAATGAAGCCAGGGGTATATGGAAGATCGTCCTCTGCCGCACAAAGACAGGAAGTGAACTCGCTTCTTCACCAGGGAACTGCAGTTTTCTTGAAAGAAAAATGTTTTCAATTATTCAAAACTGGCTTAGCACACAGCACCAGATCCCAGACCCTGCCGCGTCTGAACCCAGCGAGCTCCTTCAGCTCCTGGCAGCACAGTGTGAGCAAAGCCTACATCCAAGATTACTAACTTCATAACTTCTGGATTTGTCAGCGACTCTTCTCCCCAGAGTGGCTCTGTTGCCTGTAGGACACAATGGTACAGTACAGTTTGTAAAGTACAAGGAATTCCAAAGTGTCACTTCACAGAGCACAAAAAACGCATGTAGCCAGCACTGACAAGAACTGCGTGCCTTCTGGTATGGGCAAGAGAAGACAGAAGCACTGCTGGGCAGCTTACTCTGGTAGCAGGAACAGAAGGTACCAAGGAGCTGTTTCAGGGTCATTAGGTTCCTCAAGCTGTGAGAAACAGCAAGGAATAGGGAACCAGGGAGCACAGACATTTATTATTCACCAAACATATGCAATACCTACTCCACACACAATAAGCTGTATACCGATTCATTTTTGTAACTTCTAATTTTCCTTGGGGTTTTTGCTTGCTGTGGGACATCAGGCATTTCCCAAGTTCCTTCCTCCATTCAAGATAGGAGGACCCTGGGACCTCACAATGCAGGGTGTTAAAAACCCACAAAGTCAAACAAACAGGAAGTTCTACCTTCAGCATGAAAGAGATGAAAGCTACAAAATTCAGTGAGTGTAAGACTACAACCACAACACCTAGCATTTTGAATGCCAAGTTCTATCCTGTGCATCAAATGCCAGGGAGACTGAAGCTCGACATGCCAACTGTCAGATCAAATAGATCAAACCACCACCTCTTCAGTTTGTTTCTTAAGTATCTTTCACACAGGGATGACTAGCAAGAAATTCAGGTTTGTCCATTAACTATAAGCTATTGAATGATCCTCAGCATTTCTGAAGTACTGTGAATCAAAACTTATGTCTTACTACAAAGGAAAAATATCTACTAGGTCTTTCTTCAAGCCAGCTTTTTGTTGCATGTTAGGGCATCAGTTCTGAAACACTGCTTCCTGTGATGGGAGGATTTTGGGGTTACAACTGCAATTAAGAAAGAACAGAACCAAAAAACTTGACATCTTTTCCCCACAATATTTGTGACTCCATGGCATTCTCCCAGCAGACTTACACAGGATTTTGCGTTCCAAGACTCTGCCAAATGATAACAGTACATTAACTATGAATCATAGAACATCTGTGGTCTAAATTCAACTTAGAAACAGTTTCACCACTTCTTTTTGAAAAACAGTACACATTTATCTTCAACGAGCCAGAAGATTGATTTCTACACATTAACAACCAAGTCAAATATCACACTGAATTAACATCTTGAAAACATATGAAGGAGTTGCCTGTTTAGCCATTCTAACTCTGTCAGGAAAGTGCAGTCAGTATGTCTGTTGTTTAACAACTGCAGACTTTCCAGGTGATTCTGAAAGCTACCAGCTCTTCTGCAAACATTTAGCTCTCTTAAAAGACACTGATTTATAGAAGACTTCAAACCATTGCAGCCTTAACAGAAGCTTACAGTTTAACACCTGTAGCAATAAAATACTTAAAATAGGAATTACAAGATGGGTAATGGGGCATAACTTGGAAAGTGACTTTGACCCCTTATGATAACATCTTAAAAAGTATTTGGATACAAAACTTCCACACTCAAGTGTCATCTGCTGTTGACAAACTTGTACTGTTCACCCTTAAGACTCACTGCAGTTTCAGTTACATTTTAAGTATAAAAAACACATCCTCTTATCTTTTCAATAAGCTCCATTCAATTTCAGTAAGTTCCATTCAAAGCTTCTGACAGCCAAATACATGCAAAGTGAAAAGAAAAGTCAGTCAGCATTGTTCAACATCATTTTAATCTCCACTGAGGGAAAACCATATAAACATGTTAACACAAACAAAAGATGTTTTGGAAAAGCCCATATGGTACAATGACAGGGTTTAGGTTATAGAAATGTAATTTATAATTTTATAAAAATTATATGAAGGAATAACAACATCTTTCAGTAACATCAGACAGTGTAGAAAAAATAAACCTTGACATTAGCTGTACTCTGATGGTCCTTCTAGTAAGAAATTTAAAAGTGCTTCTTAATAACAGTGCTGCAACTCAAGATTAGTGCAATACGTCAAATCTTAAAGCAGATATTTATAGCAATTGTGCATGTTCTTACAATTAACAAACCCCATCAATCTAAAAATTAACGCTACGTGAGGTAAGTACTCTAATTAGAAGTAACTATTCCTCAAATAGCTTACAAACCAATTCTACTGCAAGGAAAATAGTTGTGTTCCTTCATAGGTTCAAATCTAAACATGATGTGAAACCTGTACTACAAACCAGTCAATATTCGGAAGTTAAAAAGGCCTTGCAAAATATATAGTTCAGTACATTTATGACCCAATGCTACAAACAGTGCCTAATGCAGTAAATACCAACTTAAATGAAACTGAACTTTACAGTTAGTGTACTGAGTTTGACTTAGAATACACTATTTTGTTCCCATCTCCTCCTAGAAGCTCCTATATAAAGTTAGCATATTAACTTAATGTAGAAGACTCACTGTATTTTTATCTGTAAATATGAACAATTAGGTTACCAACTGTGACTGCAACTACTCGTACCATCACTTTCAGAACAAGTGAAAAATAAAGCAGTACTTGGGGAAAAAAACAAGCATCCAGTTTTCCTCTTCACTCGTCTCTACACGACAAGCTGGCAATAACAAAAGATACCCTGCATTTCTACACTGTGATTTTGGCAGGAATTCTCAGAATTCTAAAATTAGTCTTCATTTTCTTGTAGTTCCTTGACTCTGTGATTTACAATGCATAGTACCTAGCACTATTGATATGCAGGCCTCATTTTAAGAGAGGCAAAAACCAGAGTGTTAATACTGAGCCCTTATGACTCATTTGCATAAGCAGCCAAAGGCATTTCATATTCTGTTTCTCAAGGTGTTTATAAGTAGGATTTAAGTCATTATCAACACTAATAATAAAATATAAATTAATAACTATTTGTTCTAATAGACTATGGCTTCGAAGCCTACCAACTGAACTGTTTTTTATAGTATTGCACTTTAATACTAAAGTGACAGTTGAAGCCTGCACAGAACTCGTTTTATAACAATATTTCAATTTCAAAAGCAATAAATAAAATGCAGTATCTAAAAAAAAGTGCCAGTAGATTTAGTCTGTATTTCCCCCATCACAATCCAAACTGCATCATCCGAACCAGGGCCAGTCTTTGGATACTAACTGCATAGCTCTTCCAACATAATAGACCACCCATAAGAATAAGAGAAACAATTAACGCTATCTACAGTAATATTACAAACTGAAAGACAGTACCCTTGAGTATATGTCTCAATTAGCTAAAAAGGATTTGTTGCCTTTGCTCAAGATAGCTTCAGCAGTTAGACACAGTTATTCTGTGACTGCATATTACATCTTTACTGCATTATTTTACAGGCAAGTTGAGTCTTCTTTCAATACATTTTATTAACCCTGATAACGATGTGCAGAACCCCTGCTCTTAAGCCAGGAAACCGTGTCCTAAAATTTAGTAACTTGTCATTGCAGTGACAAGTTGGTTAAGTCTTTAACAGAGTCTCTGATCATCTGTTCTACCTTCGGGTTTCTAGCTCCACTGGTTGCTAGCTCCTTGTCAATAAGCCCCAGGTTGTGCAGATTGAGGATGGAATCAGCAATGATCCGTGCTGTCCTCTTCTGGTACCCCCCAGATGTCACCATCAGGATTGGGATTCTGCGGCGTCTGGCAGCCTTGAACACAACTTCATCCCTCTTCACGATTCCCTGCAAGTGTACAACAGGTACAAAAACAGTTGTGTGAATATATTTCAGTTCTAGCTTCTGGCTTATGGATTTATAGTATTAGATACCCCATAAGTGATAAAGCTTTATATTTTACAATAGGAACAAAACCTCCATTTAGAAGTCCAGTTAGCTGCCTTACGTGCATCATCATTAAAATAAACACACAAAAAAAGGAAAAAAGGCAAATAAAAAATCCTTGACTTGCTTTTAGAGGGCACAACAGATAAAAGTCTTTAGCAACAGTTCCTAGAATTCCTGCTCAAAGGCCATAATGTCTAACCTGAGCGCAAAGTTAAGAAATGCTCACCCTATTTTACAGGTGAGGAATTGAAATTGAGGCCAAGAAAGACTGAATTCAGAGTGGTTTCGTTTGTGCTCAACTTGCCTGGCACCCTCTGACAAAAGCTGGTCAAGATTTCAGACCTACAGAAGAACCAAGAGTCCAAATCAGACTGTACATGCTCACAATCACTAGCTGAGGTATAAGCTTCCAGTTTAATAAAAGCCTGTAGTTAATACCAAAAGACTCTGTGGCTGAAGAAGAGTTGCAGATATAATCAACAGTAAATCCAGAAAAAGAAAAATAAATTCCAGATTATTTCTTACTAATAGAGAAGTGTATGGAAGCAAAAATAGCAAAGATTGCTGACCAGGAGGTACTGGACTGTCACTGAACACATACAGGAGAGTTCAAGTCTCTTGGGCCTCAAAAGGTACATGTAGGAAAAAAGAGAATTCAGAAATAAGTGAGAACAGAATTCAAATCTGCTTTTGTGGGAAGTAAAAGCAGAGCTGCAGATCCACAGCTGGCATGAATAACCCATTACAACGTCTCAAAAAAAGAAAACAAAAAAGGACTAACAACAAAACAGACAACAGCTTACAATGGACAGCTTGAAATGTAAATAGCTGCAGAACTTGGAGAAGGGGAAGGGACTCAAATGCAATCAAATATAAAAAAATGAGGAAGCAGCAGCCAAAGTGTTACACAATGAAAATGAGCACTACTCTCACTGCTTACAGGAAGGCTGTAAAATAAAGAAATATTACCCTGCCATTAAAAAAGACCACAAACAAATGGTAAAGAATAAAATTCCAACACAGCTGACAAGCGTATTTTGTAAAACCATGGAGCAGTAATGAGGTTTGTACAGATTGACACAGTCCTGTGGAATAACAATGGGAATAAGGAATAACAACCAGAAAATAAAGACAAAGGAAACCAAAGAATTGCATTTGGAACAGAACTTTAAAGGAAGTAACAGATTTACTGTACATCTCTTGGGAACCATCAGTGGGTGCAGGAAACATTATGGCACACTGTTCCTAACTGCCTCATCCCTGCTCCAACAACTCTGGTGCCTGAGCCTGGGAGAACTGAGGGGAAAACACATGGGCTTATTGCAGCATCTGTGTGAAAGAAGAACCAGCAGATGAATACAACAGCCTCATTACAAAGATCAGAAGGACTGAGCTGCCACACCTCGAGTTTTCTGGGTAGCTTCTGGCCTCAAGCACCAAGGAACTATCACTCATAGAGAGAACTCTCAGGTGACACACTTCTGAATAGGATTAACACTGCAGCAAGATTTTAAAATATGAATGACGTCTACAACTGTAGGACTGAAGACTGGACTAATGAACCTTGACAAGATGAATTACCCAGGCTCAATGCTCAGTTTCAGCGTTTCCAGTAGCCTGGAATTTCAAGATTGGTGAAACATGCCATTCACACCTAAGCCAACAAGATCCAAGAGAGACAAGAAACCCCGTCTTCAATTCAGAAAACAAACGCTTGAGCTACAGAAACCTTTGCTCCATCAGTGTGCAGACAAACGGCACTCTCTGACTTGCACTTCTACGTGTGACCAGCAGAGTCATTTCACCTTTCCTTCCCCAATCCTAACCTTCTGTCTGTCTCTATAAGCTGCAGCAACTCGTTTCTCATTTTTCTTGGCACTGCTCCTTCTGCAAGGGAAGGATTTAAACCCTTTCTTTTTTAAAGACACATCTTAAGGTATTCTCCTTCACTAAGTTTCTGTTTCTCTTGCTAGCCACTGCTTTCCAAAAAGCTCTCTTCCACCAAATGAGATCTGAACATCCTGGGTCATTTCCAAGGTCAAACCCAAACAAGCGGAAACACTCAGCTCTTCCTTCTCCTTAGAGACAGTTTTACACAGCCAAGGAAACAAAACCTGTAGATTCAGAGCAGCTCCCAAATGGTCCCACCTTGGCTCCATCAAGGACTTTGCAGGGCAGTCAGCAGTGAAAAGGCTGCTCAGTGATAGATGGTAAGGATGAGGAAATGCATAAGGAAACCCATAAAAACCAGCAAGGCGCTAGAGACCTATGCAAGAGAACTAAAGTACCGCAAAACTGTATGAGAATTGGACAGATCGAATGATGGCTCGTCAAGAAGGGAACCCAAGAGCTCATGTAGCAAGAGAGCACTTTCCTATACTAAATGTATGGACACTAGAAGAGTTTCCACCAAATGCAGAAACAGGAGAGAGACAGAACTGAGGAGCTGTCAGAGAAAGAATCATAAAAAATGGAGGAAATAGAAGATCTGTAAGTTATTTTTGAGAAAAGTAGACCCTGGAAGGTGAAGATTCCTTTGAAGCCATACAGAATAAACCAAAATCTGTATCTGGTACAAAACTGGGGAGGGTGGGAAGGTAAACTGAACTGAGAAAGGGTAATGGTATCTGTGCAGAAAAGCATTAGGAAACAGGGGAAAAAGATCTGTTTATTTGCTAAGAGCACACAGACAGGCAGCACAGCATTGCTAACCTGGGAGACACCTGATGAGTGCTTTAAAACAGCTGGGAGTGCTATAGAGAAAATTAAGTGTAAGAGCCATAGTGGGAGCAGGTGACAAAAGAAGTACATCACCAAATGGGGTACCTGAGGCGAAAAGAAACAAAGAAAGAACCAACCAAACAGGAAAAACACAGGTCAGATGAAGCGTAAAAATATATGCGTCTCTGGTTAGCCTGAATGTTCAAAATCAGTGTATTTTAGAGAGAAGATGCAGGCACCCTGGAGAGCAAAAGTATTATGAGTCAGGAAGAGATGACAAAAAAACACATGGTGAAAGAGCAAGGAAGATGTATCTATATGTATCTGCACTGGTTTAATGCAAGTTCTGCACCTTACCTTCATCTAACAACTGCCACAAGCCACTCTCAGGACTGCCTTCAATATCTAGTGAGGAGTGAAAGTCTGGAGATACATTAGTGCTCTACGAACCTGAGGTGAAATAGCAAGTCCTCCCAATGGATCGCCATCCAGAATATCAGTCCCAGCATTATAAACAATGATGTCAGGTCTTAGTTCGTTTAATGCTCCTTCCACATGAGTATGCACCTTCTGCAGGTATTCTGTGTCCTCTGTACCCCATTCTAATTCCACCTTGCGTTTTATGGCACCTAAAAAGAAATCGTTTCAATGTCACTCAATAAATAAAGCATTGCTTTAAAAGAAATGCAAGACTGAGGTAAGCAAGAGGAAAAGATGCATTGTATTTTCATAGAACCTTGAGCTACAGAAACTTATCCAAGTGCGTGCTTCCCCAGCAAATGTAAGCACAGTGACCTTGAAAAAATTCCACTGAAGAGAGAAAATCAGATGCGGGGGGAGGAGAAAAGGGGGGGAATCTCTCAGACACAAGAGAAAAATGCGACTGAAAAGCAGCTGATGTACAAGTCCATTTACCATTCAGCAAAGAAATCATAAAGAAAATTATTAAAAGTAACCTAAATAAAGGATAAAGGGAAGAAAACACTGAAATGCTATTGCAGAGGAAACAGTTGGTAGAAAAAAACCCCAAGATAAATATCACTGAGAAATCATTAAGATGTTTTATCACAACATGCAAAACTTACCATTAAGGGACCACGAATTCATGTGAACTGCTTTATGAATGTCTAACAAGATTCAGCTTTGCCCTAAGCATTTTCCATTTAACGTTCTTACCCTGTAATCCTACCAGAAGAGCAAATATCCATTCTTAATTTAAATCAAATTATTTCTAATGCTTATAATAAGGCATTAGAAGAGGAGGGTTGAGAAGGTAGAGGGAGGAAGCCCAAAGTTATGCAGCCTAGCTTTGGGTGCTTCTACAGGGCTCTGTGTAACTCAATCTGAATTAATCAAACCTATGCCAGAAGTGTCTCACAGTATGATTCTACCTCACCATACCCTATGCTTTCAATTAAATGATGGGTGTCTTACATCTTACATATGGGTTCAGCACCCACCAATAGTGCATGAATTCATATGACACAGAATAGTGGTTACTTTTTCTCTTCCCTGCTTTGTATCCTTGTTCAACATCAGTGAAGCATTTTTCTTATTTTATTGCATCAACATTAGTTTCAAAGATTATTGTTTCTCCATGATATTTTTCTTGAATTCTTTTCTTACAGTTACATAAATGTTCATATAAGTCTGCACAGCTATGCTCTTCTGGACAGCACTTAGAACCTCTTCAGGGTAAAGAATCCACGAGCTGCAGATCGTGTTAGAGGAGGAGGTGAACACATCAGTGCGGGGAGCAACTTGGTGTTGTTATGATGAAGCCATTAAGAAGTTCACAGTCATGAATAAGACTGCATGCCTCTGCAGGTCTTGTCTTCATCTCCATCACAAGACACAGAACTGCAGCAATGAGTTATTACCCAGATCAGGGACTGATGGACTCAGCGACGGGTCTGTAGCTTAGAACTAGCATAGCCTTTTGTCCATCTCTTGCCCATTAGTGAGTGTACTTCTACAGCTTTGACAACTGTAAAACGACACTCAGACCAACAGCAACACTTCTCTAAGGCCTGAACTTCGATTTTCAGCTGTCAACTTCTTATGCTCACCCCTCAGTGAATCCTCATCCAGGCTTTTCCCAACACGCATTTTCTCCTTTCTTTTCCTCAAAATCTGCATAATTCCAAACTACTTCCCCTTAGGCACTCAATACTGTTATGGCTAAGCACTAGGCCATGTTAGCTCATATTTTTACTTCTTTTTTTCTCCCCTAATGAAGCGCATGGGGCAAAAAAAATGTACAGAAGAAACTCTTGTAATAAAATTTGCAGGAAGGCCAGGGAGACAGTGATCTGTTAGAGTTTAACTTAATTATTCAAACTTTCAGGTCCAACTTCTACCTCCCCTCAAAAAGATGCCCTCTGATCTCACCTTCATCTGGCCACGTAGCCAGGTTTGAAGGACAGAACCATTGAACTTTTATTTAAACACCTGGCAACTACAAGAAACTACATATTCACGTGCCTCTGGCCACAGCCTTGTGCCTCGTGCTTCACCGTGCAAAGGGAATGCTCATGTTCCCAGCTGCACAGGAGAGGGCTGAGCTCAGTACTTCACATTTGCTGACAAGGGCTTACTCTGCTTTGGTCTTAATCCATCTGTTCAAATTGTTGCCATTTGATATATGAATAAAGGGATTCTTTCGTTAGGGAAAAAAAGTAAATCTTCATTTGCTTCATTCTGTCTGCTACAGACATGATGTGCTTTAAATGTCATTTTTCAGTTTAATGCCTTTAAATACATATACTACAATTTTTAAACTCTTTACTAGTTAAAAGTAGAATACAGTGCACCTAATCCATGCCAAGAATCCAAATTAAGTAGTCTTCTCAGAATGACAACAGCATTGAGGAATTCAGCAGCAGAACAACATCTCCCCCAATAAACTGTGATTCAGTTCACAAATTAAGCCTGCTATAAATGACAGTCTGACAGAACCAAAGATCAAACAAACTTTGGGCTTTTGCATTCCAGGGAACCATTATCAAAACCTCACTAATTACTGGTGATAGGTCTCAGACACAATGGGCATGTCACAGTAGGAATAAACAAACAGTAATAAAATCAAGCAACAGCTCTTAATGTTTGTGTGACTTCCTTTTGTTTCTGAACTTGTTTCACATTAAGATTCATCTTGTTTTCAGGATGCTTATAAAACAAGTTCTACCACAAAGACAACACCTAAGTAATTTTCAAAGCATAAATCCTTTTTACACAGTGTAAGTCAATTCCTAATGAATTCCTTTATAAATTTAGTGTAAGGTTAAGTTCTAACAGCTCTCTTCAAACCCAAAGGATTATTTAACTCACTGTTCTAAGTGTGGCATGAGCTTTTGAATGGACAAAACCCACCTCATACCCACACCTTGCATTCCAGAAATCCACTCCAGGAGTGAAGGGAGAACACTACAGTGTTCACACTGTTGTGAGATATCACACTGATCACTGAATATCGTATGTTCAATGTGCAATTTTCAAAAATAAGTATCTAGTCACCCTTGGTGCAGGAAAGCATTTTGGAATAGGATTTTCAATCATACTTACGTTTAGCAAATCCATCCCCTGGATAAATGTACCTATTGTAGGCATCCATAATATAGACCCGATGATCATCCATGAAGTCCCTCTCATGGCCATTTCCCTGAAGGAAATTTACAGTTAGCTACTCCTAGCAAACTAACACAGAAATAAATCAGCTGCAAATCCTACAGTAATTAAGCCTACAAAGATCTAATCTTTAAAACTCCTGTGTCATTTTCCTGTTTATAGTCTTGAAGGTTATTTTGAGGCAGAGAGTTCTGGGGTCTTTGATAGCACCAGTCTGAAGACTTCAGGTTTTATCAGAACCAACATCATTTTATCTCTAAGAAGGTATTATCATAGATCTCACTGCACACAGAAGTAAAATACACGAAGATTAGAAGTTAATTGTCTTCAGCATCATCACAAAAAGCAACTGTGACCACTAAATAGATCCCTCATCTTCCAACTGGGGGAAGGATGGAGGACACACATCACTTTCAGCTGCTGCAGGGATATTCATTCTTGTACAAGGATTCATAAATACATAAAGCAAATATAATTCAAGCCTTAATAAGAAGTAATCCCTGGAAAAATTACAAATACTAAGGACCCAATAGTTCTGCATATTGTTTAACACCAGGAATTCCCTACAAAAAGATTGCACTGGGTGAAAAGATGGATGCTCAAGAGAAAACTCAGAGCCTGAAGTTAAACAGTATTCTGTGGGTTCTCATTTAGACTTTCATTCCCACTAGTACAAAAATCATCTTTTCACAGCAATCACCAAGATGACTGTACTGAAATCAGTGTATCATACAGCACCACTGACCCTACCCACCAGAGAATTTCATTTAAACTACAGAAACAGACACTTCCACAGATAGTATCTTTTGGAATTCTGTTACATAATTCAAGTTCCTGGGAAGCACCAGAATTGCTAATAAATGGCAACTCCAGATTATTTCTTCAGTACCTTTGTTCTACAAATAAAGAGCTCATGAACAGAAACCCAGGAATATGAAAGCCTCCAGGAGAGCCATTTCCCTATGAAAGGTGAAACTTGCGAATGCACCAAGAGCTGGACCACTGACAAGATGCGAGTATCTGCATGCTCAGAGACGATCTGCTGAGCTAGTACGTCCCACCCCTCTTATTCCCCAAAGAAAGGAAACAAATGAGTGATTTAGTGTGCAGACTGAGGTGACCTGAAAATCAAAATACATTCCAAGGAGGTTTAAAAAAAAAACAAACAAAAAACCCAAAACCAAAACAAACCCACAAATAAAACACCCCAAAGAAGCATAAACATCCAGACCCTGAAAGAGGTGGCTGAAGAGAATCACAAACACAAAGCATCTTTCTGTTGCATAATCTCTGTCCTTATTTAATGGTAATGTTAGGATGCTTTAACTTGCAGATAAGAGAAATGACAGAAGATAGAAAACTACAGCCTTTAAGCTTCCTCAGTTCCATGGAACTTAAAATGCTTTAAAATGCTTTATTTACACATAATAAATTACCTTAAATGGTTCATCCTGGACATAAGTATGGTGCACTAACTGCTTTTCTAAAAATACCAGTTCCCTCCTTTCAGGATTTATTTTGGAAATGCTACCAAAGATGAGATCTGTTCTCAGCGCCCACAGTAAATCACTTTACCAGGTGAAGAGTGATGTGCTCTTCACTTCATTAGCCTGAAGCCAGGCTTCCCATTGAAACACTGAAGGTCAAATTCATCCCCTGCAAAGGTTGCTGCAACAATCACGCATGCTGAACGAACTGTAATTCTGGTTTAAAAGATTCTTGTTTCTTCTGGAATACTGATCTACTCTGCAGCCTGTGTATGCCACTCCAAAACAGTTCTACATCTAGCCACATGATGGAGCTACAACTCAGTTTAATTTTATTAAACTGGCCTACCAGCCTTTTGGACTAGAATATAATTAAACAACTAAATTGTTCACAGTTGCCATCATCTATGATTATCTCTGTATTCCGCAAGCTGACAATTTATACCACTATTAGAAAAAATGGTATTTCTCAAACACTTGTATTTCAAGCAAAACAACTGCAGCACTGAATAGAGGTATGGTACTCACCTGGTGAGCATCCAGATCAATAATTGTGGCTTTAGACACCCCTTGCACTCTTTCAAATAGGAACTGGATATATAAGAAAAGAAAAAGATGGACAAAGTTATGTAGCTGGGTGACAGATTAAACCGAAGGCTTGAAGCTTGCCCAGTATACTACTGGTCTGATTTGAATGTACTGCATGTCTTTTCATTTCATTCACCAAATAAACAGCTAAATGATTCCAATATATTTAATGACAAAAGCTCTGGTTATTTCACATAACAAGGTCATTTTTGTGGTCATACAATAAAAACCCTATATATTTACACCAGATGAAATGCATGGAACATGCATCTTGCAGTTGTCTGTGAAGGTATCTGCCTACCTGCAGAGCAAGTCAGTAAAGAAAGGGAAGAGACAGATTTCTACTCATCTCTTCTACCTCCCACAGAGTATGAGACATAACATGGGATCAATGGCCCAGGGTAACAAACCTGGCTGCAGCAGTGCTGGCTCTGCACATCTCTGCACCCCACCCAGCAAGCCAGCAAAGGGCAGGTCTACTGGGGGTTATAAAGCTGATCACTGGTGCTGTCACTGATTGATTGATCAGTGTCATTGATCATTGGTGCTGTCACCATCATTGGTACTGTGGAACCAGCAACAAAACTGTGGGCTGGGACAGGGTGAAGCGAGAGCTGCCCAGGCCCCAGAACATCAAGGAGCTCACTTCATGAGACACCAATGACAGCACAAGTGAGGCTTGTTGGTAGGGAGGGAGAAACACCCCACAAGCATGAACTCCACCATTTAGGCAAAGCTGCTGGAGGGACTGAATGCATTAAAGCCACTTTTAGTAACAGAATTCCTTTCTTATGCCAGTCTGTGAAGAAAAAATGCTTTTGAATTCTTTGAGTCTTAGCTTTGACAAGTTACTATCTTTAACACAGACATGGTAAACCCCAAGGATTTTGTACAAACTGCCACCCGCTCTAATTTCTCGATCTGTATTTTGATGGCAGGAAAACAGAACACTGGATTTCTTTCCTGAAAATTACCACGTACAGAAATTAGGATGTTATGTCATGTAGTGTGCTGCAATCATTAGAGCTTTTTATGTTTGATTATTACTGATACTTTATAAATAATCTAGTATACAAATATACCATAGTACATTTGATAAAAATAAGCCCTAATTGCAGAAGTCTCTTGCTTCAGCCTTTCAACAGCTAAATACCAAATGTATTCATTCACAGTCAGTGATTATTTTGGAGACATTCACATTTTTATTCATGATTTTGAACCACTCTGAGCACTGTATAGTGCAGCTTGATTCAGAGAGAAGATTGCTGTCTGCATTCGTCTTGATATAACCACTGAAACTAATGTGGGATTTTCAGGTTCAACTGCAAGGCTGGGATAATTACCAGTGAGGATATTGTAAGTCAATCTGGCTTGATTTTGAGTGTTTTTTTGCAGTTAGACATTATTAATGTAACTGTAGTGGTTCATAATTACATTCAGAATTCTGACCCCTGCAACTCTTCCCTCGCACTTCACAATACTGCCCATTGTGTTCTGCAGCATTGAGTACCACACCTTTTTCCTGTTCCAACCCATCTACAGATGGCTTTATTTTCTCCTATTAAGATGCAGATTAGTCCTTATGAATTTATGTGGATTTTTTCCATTTGCACAAACAGTAGGAAGTACTGTGTTAAGAGCACTTCTTACCTTTATAGCCAGTGTGATATCAGCATATGCACAGAATCCTCCACCTTTGTCACTCGAACAGTGATGAAAACCACCCCCTAGACATAAAAATGTTGGAGAGGTGAAAAGCTAGATGCTAAGGAACACTTTGGTCTTTGCAAAGAGATGGAGCTTACTTACGTGGCACATACTATTTTCTTTAGCAAATACCACCCCTAGAGCCACCCAACCCTTACAAGCAATACGAAACATCTCCTGGGTTTCTGTACATACCTTATGCGTGGCCTAGTGAGCATCAGGCAAAGGAGCTGCCCTTTCATTTAGCAACCACCCTAAAAACTAAGGAATGAATGTATGTTCAAGGCCAGGCTGGATGGGCCTTGGAGCAACCTCCTTCAGTGGAAGGTGTCCCTGCCTATGGCAGAGAGTTAGAACTGGATGAGCTTTAAGGTCCCTTCCAACCCAAACCATTCCATGGTTCTGTGGTAACACATAGAGAATTTCACTGTGACCGTTCTGCTCCCCAGGCATGCTGGAGATACGAAATAAACATTATGGGCAGGTGGGAAGGACATGTGGAAGGTTCTTTTCCATGCTAAACACCAGGTCAAACCCACCAAGGTACATTATCACTTGCACAATGTTTTTTGCAAACACTCAGACCAGAAGAAACTTCAGGTACTCCTCTTTACAACACAATCACACGTGTTCTTTACAGGAAAAAAGTACTTAGGCCTCCCCCTCCCAGACATACCTTTTATACAATAAACTGTAACCTTTTACTGAAAAACCCACTACAAATATCTAAGCAGGAAACTTAGCAAGCTCACTTATATATCAGTAAATACAACAGGCCTTGGGCTTCATTTTTAACGTCTAACTTTTAATATTGGATGCTCATTTCATAGAAGATGTAAGAAATAATGGAAAACCTCCAGAACTGATGAGTTCTATGGAAACAAGAAGCTACGAGTCAAGTAACACAAGCTATTGCTTCCATAGCTTCCTGGGTTTGCATTGCTCTTTGCTGCGAGCAGGAGAACACATTTATAGCCACCATAATTTAATTTCATGTAATATCTTCATAATTTGTTCATTCAAGTCTTTCTCAGGAAAAACTGCACATAGACACTACCTGGTCCAGCCCTGCTCTCCAGCATATCCACCAGTCCCTTCAGTGCTATGACATATAAAATAGCTGATGATAAAATCTACGAAAATTATAAAATAATTTAATGAAATCAAAGATTTTATTGAAATATTTACATTTACTCCAAACATTTTACCTTAATATTTTTGCACTACTTCAATCCAAACTCTTTCATTTTATATTTACATATATATATACACACACACATGATTCCACTATCTTTATCCATTATCTTCCTTTTTCTTTCAAAAAAATATTGTAATTATAAAACTGCAATAGGGTGATAGTGGATGAAAAAAAATCCAGCACTTCTCCCATTTGTTTTACCTTTAAAATTGAATTTAGTTAAACACAACCCAGTCACTTTCTACTATTGTAATATAGATTGTGCTAAATGAAAACAGTATGTTTTTAACCATGCTATTTCAAGTGTCATTCAGTGTCCTGCATGTGTACTTACCCACGTTGATTGCCCAGCCTCTTTCAACAGCCAGTTTTCCTGCCTTAAGGGAAGGACAGGGAGAACTTCATGAACAAAGGAAGAACCATTTCACACCTCCTGCTCCCTCCCCACACACAGCTCCTGGCACTTGAACTGTGCCCATGGAATGCTTGGATGTTTCAGCACTGCAGGTCACGCTGAATCAGGTCTCTAAAGATGAGCCAACCAAAACTACCCTCAGCATAATTGGTTGAAAATACTATTTGCTCTCTCCTCTGTATTTCATTTCTGGCAGTTGAATAGATCTAAAGCGAACCATGCTTTGCACAGGTGAACACTGACCCCTGGCAGAGAAATGATACAGGAAAAGTAAGAGTGTTAATAAGAGTAAAAAAAATGAGCAAGGATCTTCCAATATCATTTCTGTTCATGGCAAAACAGGAGGAATCTAAGCTCCAAATCTTGAAAATACAGATTAAAGGTTACAACTGGGGGTGAGGACAAAAAAAAATGTTACAGTGTGAAGTGTCCTGTGACTTCTTAGATTTTAAACGCTAATACATCCATAGTACAGAATATTACCAATCCTTTTTCCCTCCAATACAGCAAAACTGTGCCTGTATCTCTCCTTCGAACTCAGATGACATTCAAGGAAGGGAAAGAACTGACAGAGAAAAGATACACAAGGCTTAAATGATGGCATTTTAATTGAAAAACCCGACTTATTTTGGCCTTACTTTGGTTCAGCAAGTGTTTAAATGCAGTACTCCTTAATGTCATGTCAAAAAGAAGATATTACTAGCTATAATTTAAAAATAAATAAATAAGGGAAAGCCAGATTATTCTTTTCCATAATCATGGAAAGAACATATTACACATCAACTATGGAAAGAACTTTGAGCAGCTGAGAATTCCTCATTACCAGTATTTACATTTGAACAGTTCTAACTTAGTATTAAGGACACTACTGGGAAGATCAACATCATTCTGTTATGAACACACCAACTTACACAAATTAGATCTTGAGAAAAGATTGTAGTTTCTGAACTATAAACCCCATTAAATCACAGGGAAAACACATTATGTGTGATTTAGCAGACTGCCTAGGGATTCCTCCCCAAAAAAGCAATCTTCCCATATTGCTAAAAAAACATCATTAAAAGTACAGATACAAGAATCTTCATGACAAACAGGACCATTAGCAATAGAAGATTGTACTTCTGGCTTATACTGCACAAAGTTTACTCTCTGATGAATCAAAACTGCTTTTAAAGTTTTGATACCTACTTCCCCATAATGAAATCTAAAAAAGGTAAAACTATCAGCATATGGCATCAACAGCAATCCAAAAGTGAACAGCAATGGCATCTCTATTTCAGGAGGCATGATACAAAGACACAACAGACACAGTGGCTAGCTCTTCTACACCGTCACGTTTCTAACAAGTGAACATGTGTTTATGAGTTAAAGATAACACCAGCACAATGAAAACATCACAAAACTACGTAAAAGTATTTATTAGTTAGAACCAGGTTGAAATAGATACCATACACACGTACTGTCAAGGCTCTCACAAAGTATCAAAAGCAGACTATTAGGAAACTCTAGATTCTTCCCAATTATTTTCCTGTTCTACCATTTCCTTCTTTCCTCGTAACTATGGTACAAAAAGGCAGTATGGCTATAATAAGAGAAGGCTCTGCATGTTCCTATTCAGACAGGACTTTGCCAAGACCCTCAGCTCAATGAGAACTACTGACTGCAGTCAGAAACACAGTACACAGGAGAGACCTAGCCAGGAACCAGAAATAATGATGAAGGATGAAACTGAGACAGAATGGAGCTACTTCTTTGTCTGAGAGTGACAACCATTTATATAAGCACCTTGAAGTACAGGAACCAGAGGAAACCACAATTCTTTCTCTCTACTATAACTGCATTCAGCTCTGGGGCCCCCAACAAAAAGATGGGTGTGAACCTGCTCAAGTCCCAAGGTTCTCCTCCCCATCTTTACAGAAGTGGGAAGGGGAAAAAGGCAGGGAGTGAGTGAGCAGCTGCATGGTTCAGAGTTACTGGCTGGGCTTAAAACCACAACAGTTCACCACAATAATGCTCCAAAGGCTGGAGCAGCTCTGCTCTGGAGCCAGGCTGAGAGAGCTGGGCTGGGTCAGCCTGGAGAAGAGAAGGCTCCTGAAGGGGAGACCTTAGAGCAGCTCCAGTGCCTAAAGGGGCTGCATGAAACCTGGAGAGGGGCTTGGGACAAGGGCCTGTAGGAACAGGCCAAGGGGAATGGCTTGAACCTGTCAGAGGGGAGATTGAGATGAGCTCTTAGGCAGAAGCTCTTCCCTGTGAGGGTGCTGAGGCGCTGGCACAGGGTGCCCAGAGAAGCTGTGGCTGCCCCATCCCTGGCAGTGTTCAAGGCCAGGTTGGACACAGGGGATTGGAGCAACCTGCTCTAGTGGAAGGGGTCCCTGCCGGTGGCAGAGGTTGGAGCTGGATGAGCTTTAAGGTTCCTTCAACCCAGACCACTCTACAATTCTATGGTGATACCATTACCCAGCCTATAAAGTCAGGTTGTTTTTCTGTTTTGTTGGGGTTGGTTTGTTTGGTTTTTTAACAATTCCAGCAAAACCAGCTGGGTGCTATCTCCAGCTCCTGCTGGTAAACTGACAATGTTCCAGGTGGTTTATGCATGTTTGCATTAGGGAGATACACTGCATTCCACTTCCATTATCCCCGCTTTTGCCAGTGAGCACCTACGAAAGGAAGTAGCACTTTTCCTTATCTGGTGTACTACCATAATCCAGTAAGCCTAAAGGTTTATCCAGGACCTAGCATTTCTTTCCAAACTCATGTGCTTCAATTGTCCTAATGGTTGGTTTGACATTTGCAGTTATTTACCTGGTTTTTTCATGCTTATGCAGGCTTTCAGGCTTCAACAAAAGCATCAGACATAGCTACACTGTACAAAGACTTCCATATGTTTCCTTACCTCATTATTCTTTGACTTTAAATTACACATACATCCAAGACAACAGAGTAACAAGAGAATTAACGTATAATTAGGAAATGGGATTTAAGAGGTGAGAACAGCAATGGTTCAAAAAACAGAGCCCAAGGTGGTCAAGATACATACAGGCTTTATAAAATAAAACCATTTCACACTCACAAACCTGAATTAAAACCAGCCTCAGCAACTGTCAAGGATCCTTTAACCTGGTGAATGTCACAGGACTCTTCTCCTATGATTTAGGAAGAAACCACTGGCCACTTTCATTTAACAGCTCAGAGCAATAAGCATTTAACTCGCTCCACACAGACAATTTCAGCACAGAGGAGGTGACTTTTTGATCCTTTCTTCTACTATCCCCCCACTCAAGAACTTACTGGACCTTTCCTTTGCCACTTCTATGATCACTACTATCACCTCTTCCTCCAACTGTGAACAAGATTTTTCTGAACACATGTTTTTCTGAACACGTAATTATGACCAGTGTTTGGTTTATTACAAAGGCAGTTAAGATGACCTACCTAAAACAAATAAAATTGCACTGTTAGAAGATGCTTCTGAATCTTTATAGTAGAGGTTTAAGATCAGTCACAAGTTGTCTTGTGACTTCTATTGTCTTTGTGATTCTACTCCTTTCTCTACTACCTTTTGTAACAGAAAACAACTGGCAAAGCTTCATTTACATACACACATGCAAATCCAGCAGCTGGATGGGACACACGTTTAACAAGAGGACTAAAATACTGAAAGAAGCTGACTTTTTTCTGATGAAGATCAAGCACTGAATAGTTCTATCACTAAAAAGAAAATACAACAGAAAAGCAGGATATTTCATCTTGCCTTAAAATTTAGCGAAAACTTGCTCTCTGCTTTCATTTCACACAGTGAAACGCAAGAGGGATGAAACTTACTAGTGCCCAGACTCACTTATACACACACCAGGGACAGCAGCAACAGTTCAACTCACATCTGTTCAACAGAATGAAAGAAAACTTAGAGAACTGCTTCACCCAACTTCTGGGCCCTCTCAAAGACAAGACTTCAGCCTTCTTCACTGATCCTGAAAACTGCTGCACTGCCTTTGATGTTCTTTAGATGACCTATGTCTTTAACAAATTGATACGTTAATGTAAGCATTTAAAAATAAGAAGCCTTGATTCCAGTGCAGACTACTAAGTACCTACATGTCTGTTGACACCCAAACATGAAGCTCCTTCCAGACAGCACCACAGCTCTTTGGCAAATATGTGCTTTAAAATCCGCTTCTGTATCAGCAATTTGAACACTGTCAAAAGCTAATTCCACTTCTGCATATGCCACAAGTCCTGCCATGTCTATTACTGCCAGTCCAGGCTGCCCCCTCTTCTGCAAATTACAGACCATGAAATCAGGTAGGTCCTTCTCCTGGGTAGCTGCTAACGAGTGGCAAACTGTGCTCATGGTCAGGACTGTAGCATCTCACTTCCCTCTGCAGGCTTTGAGCTACATAAAGTATTACCACTCACAGGTTTGTAGTGTTTCAATCACCAAGTTTAAATAGAATAAAAGTGACTCAAGATCACCTTACCATTATTGTTCCTCCTGTCTGGGTCCGTAGAGGTTTCAGAACTTTTCTCTGAACCACAAAATTGGGCAGGAAGGCAACTGGTGGGATTTCTGTGATTGTAGCAACGACAAATGACCACTACAATGAAAGGAATCAAAAGTTCCAATTAGTGCAGTCTGTCTTAATGATGACAGTTAGGTCTCTCATGACCCAAATGTTCCTTATTAGTAAACTCCAAATAGGTTCGTCCTCAAGTTGTTAACTATGAAAATCATCAGTCCCTATCACCATCGCCAGGTTTTTCAGACCTTAGTATCAAATGGGAATAAATCAGCAATTTTCCAGCAAGCCAGTATTTCAGAAAATCTAACATCCTTGGGACTGGGAGGAAGAATTGTAACACATCCTTCAGCAGCATTAATAGCAGGCTATGCTTCTTCAAGCGTAAAATATCTTTTCCTGTGTCAAGTAAAAGGATATACCAAGGAGAAAGGAAAAACAGACAACTAAAAAGTTCAATACTGAAGTGAACGGACAGTGCACATTTTAGCATGAAGAAGTGATTAAAATTTATTTAGCATATTAAACACTTCTGGAAAACATTTAAAGGAAATGTTTTGTTGAAAAGTCCTATCATCACAAACATAATTTGAAGGTTAGAACCCAAAATATTTCCAATACGTACATGCTTTTTGGCAAACACATACATTATTTCAAAGAACTTCTACTAACATTGTCACCAGCAATAACACTGCTAAATATAATTCAAAGAGTTAGTCACAAGCAAGAAGATACCTCTTCATCCAATACCAAAATGTTCAGGTACTGAAATTATGAAATAGACACCCTGCAAAAAGAGTCTGTATAGATTCCATTTTAGAAGGGAAGAGAAAGTTCTGGGGAGACCTTAGAGCAGCTCTCGGTGCCTAAACGAGCTACAGGAAACTGGGAGAGGGGCTTTGCACAAGGGCCTGTAGGGACAGGCCAAGGGGAATGGCTTGAACCTGCCCGAGGGGAGACTGAGTTGAGCTCTTAGGCAGAAGCTCTTCCCTGTGAGGGTGCTGAGGCGCTGGCACAGGGTGCCCAGAGAAGCTGTGGCTGCCCCATCCCTGGCAGTGTTCAAGGCCAGGTTGGACACAGGGGCTTGGAGCAAGCTGCTCCAGTGGAAGGGGTCCCTGCCCGTGGCAGGGGTTGGAACCGGATGGGCTTTTAAGGTCCCTTCCAACGAAACCAGTCTGGAATTCTGTTTTCTTCAGCATTAGAGTATTTAACTAGATTCAGTACATTTGCTGCCGAACTGCTGTTAGCTGTCTGCTTACAGATGATAGGAGGTACAAGTGGTCAATTTTAACCAAGGACAATCACATGCCAATTTCAGGGTCCTCTGACATTTAGAAATGCTTTGGCTTTCCACTTAACAGTGTTTCAACTACAAAGTACAGTGAGATGAGGTGGAGGGATGGTGTTATTCATAAAGTTAAATACTAACTATATTTTGTGAACTATATTTTAAGCTCTTACTACTTTTATATTTGTAAGACATTATTCCATTACCTTATCAGGCCTCCAACATCAACAAAGTACCTTAACTGTATTGTAATACAGTCAATTTTAGTGAAGTCCTTTTGCAAGGTATTTTAGCTTTCAAACAAGCATAATGTAAAGAACTGGGTTCAATTCTGTTGTTCTAAAATGGAATAAAAAAGGTCACATTGGATAAAATACCATTTGATCTCAAATGTGAATGACAATCAAAAATTCTCCCAAAGTTTTAATACAGTTTACAAATATTTTAATCCCAATGGGAACAAGTGGGAGCAATACAGGCTCAAATGAACACGTACCCTGCTGCAGGTTTTGTGGTGAATGCAAGAAATCCATACATGGTACAAGGAGAGAGTATGCACAGCTTTCTGTCCATAGCTGAGGATGCTCACAGGGCAGTGCCAAGCCCAACAGCTTTCCCTGCTTCAGATGCAGTCCTTGACTGTGTTTGTGGAATTCCTAACATACCAGGGAAGAGTCATATGACTGCAAGGAAAATCCTGCAGTTCAAGAATGCAGCCATGGACAAATTAAAATGCTTCCCCAAAACCACCACTGTAATAATAGAGAAATATATTGCCTCAAGCTGTGGACAGTTTTGTGCTATTTCAATTCAATGTGCTGATTTTGTTTTCCAGCATTTCTTGCAATAACTCCTACAACAGCTCTGTACATACTCATAAAAAGGAATTAAAAGCAATTATTTGATAGAATACTTTTTCACACTGTAAAAATAAAAGATGATTTTGCACAGATGAGGGCTACATCAATTACATTTTCCAGGCTGTCAGTTGGCTTCTGTAACACAAGTCTTCACACACAGCAGTCTCCTATGATAGAGAACCAACCCTTCACATTTTATTTGTTTTATCACTACTTTTTTTGCATTCAAATTGCACATATCAGAATAATGCCAGTGACTGTTTCTTTTGGTAGATACTTGCTCTCACTCAGCCACCATCAAATGACTGACTCCACTAGCATTTTGTAAACATGTAGTTATATAACTGAACAGAAATGAAACCTTGGTCTGGATTCAGGGAAGAGTATCATATATAAATTTAATCATATGCCTTCACTTCCTCTCAGTTATCAATTCCATTTAATTCTTCTTTATTTCTGTTGCTCATAGCAGAGATTTTTTTTTAAATAATTTACCTTCCTGTGTTCTGGATAAATAATTCAATGCATGAACTTACGTTTCAATTTTATAAAACTTCCACTCCCTGTTAAAAGGAGTAAAGAAGCCAGGTTAACCCTTAACCAGGTACATTCTCCTTTAACACACCCCCTACTCAGTTAACTACTAGGCAGTATTATTAAACATGGCTAAGTGCAGTAACTAAGGTTACATCCAAAGTTACATCCAACAAAACCAAACAAACCAACCAACCCATCACCAGCTTCAGAAGTCCTTAACTTTCCTTGCTTACGCCAAAACTTTCTAACAGCATAAACATTTGAAGAGGACATTCTTGCAGGACTTTACCTTTGAAGTATTATCACTATTAACTTTAGTTCCTTAACTACAAAAGCATCTTTTTAGTAAGGTTAAATGACTTTCCAAATCATTTCAGATTATTAGTGCTCAAGGATTAAAAGTTAAACTGAAAAACTAGTATCAGGAAGAGAAAGCTGAAGTAGTTGCTGATACATCTGGATTAATACAAACAACACATTAATGATCAAAACCAACCCCGATACTGCCTTGTGTTATGCATTCAGTGCATTCCAGCATTATGAAATACCCAACAACACATCAGGTTTTTAGGAAATGTGCAATTTTGTCTAATATCTAAATTCTAACTGTGTTTAAATCTTTGTTTCCTACAGCTACTCCCAGCTCAAAGGAAAATTCATGGACTTATAATTCCAACACCAAGCAACTGATGTAATATTCAGAAGCTTGCCTGAGACAAAGCTATTTAGATCCATCTTCAAAAGATACAGAAAGTATGTCTTTAGCTTGAATTACTTCAAATAATATCATAAAGGTGACTAGGAAGATTGTAATTTTCACAAAAGCTTCCAGATCAAGGTATGGACACACTATTGGCACTGGGAATGATACTCTGCTGGCAGCAATCAACGGTACCCAGATAACACCACCCAAAAACCAACCAGCCAAAAAACAATTACAGTGCATCAGTCTTCTACCAATGAGCTGGAAATATTAAAAGAAAAAAAAGAAATCACTGCCAACCAAATGCTAGCTTACCCTGAAGGGTTTTACTAGTCACTTCAGCTGCAAAGAATGCCTTGAAGCATTTGGGCAGCAGTGTAAGCACTGAAACCTGTCAAACCTTGGCCCCATGACTGAGCATTCTTGTTCAGTTTTTGTATATTCCTACAGACCTTCACCTGACACATTAACATGCACATGAAAATTTAGGTAAAAGGGATCTAATTCATTTTTCTGCTCTCATGACCTTTTAAATTAACATTTTGTAGTAAATCACCACTCACCTTCAAGAATTTCTCACCAATGAAGCTTGAAAAAATTGAGCCAGGATAAGGCACATTGCAGGGAGCAGAGACAGTGCTGACAGCACAATCACTGCACCCACTGAAGAACTGGACAGAGGAACCATAAGCACTTCTGAAGGAGCCCACTTCATCCAAACTAAACCCACATTTTCAGCTGCAGTCACCAGCGCAGCGCACACAGCCCAAGCAGCATTTCATGCTGCTTTATCTCAACGTCAAACACAGCCACAAGTATTGCAGGCTGAACCAAGTATTTTATGAGGCTGCTTCTACTGCCTTCACTCCCCAGAGTCTAACCCTCTTCCCCAGCACCCTGCTGACGCCACTACCAGACAGGCAGGCAGGTACCTTGGGTCTCTTGGCAAAGGCACTCACACCACCAGGCAAGAACCAAAGCCCACAAGCACTTGAGCACCAGACAACACTCTCTGTAATCACATCAACCCACTTCTCATGGGTATAAAACCTCGTATTTCTAATAGGATTATTAATTTAAACCTACAACATTTACAAATATGTAAAACAGACTCGGATTTGTAATTCAACTGATGGATCGCCTGTTTTGGATCACTTCAAAAAAGCACCTCTTGCATTCCACTGATGCACAAGCGTCACCTTCTTCGTTCGCAATTCGGTATCTACTCATTTATAACAGAACTTCTCACATATAAAAATGGTTCAAATGAAGACTTGCACTTTCCAAAACCTGCTTTAGCCTCATTGCCAACCTTATTCCAAACTTTCACAGTGCTGATATGCAGGAAATTCATCATTTTACATACCACTAGAAAAAGGCAGTAAGTGGAAAAGTACTGCAAGCAAGTTATCCAAAGTCCAGTCAATATCCTGGAAATATAAACTCTTCAATGGAACAACTGAGGGGGAAGCACCCAAATTCAAAATGCCACATGCCATGCTACCTAAAGCAGGGAAAAAAGGAGACCTTTCCTTCTAACACAGACCTAATGTCCAGTACAGCTTGATCTACTTTGTGCACACCACTTTGTTTATCTTCAACCAACCTCCGAGCCAGCTCCTCCAGCTGCTGCTAAGGTACCAAACAGCACTTCTTGCAAGTGCATGAAATTTCCTACCAAATTCAGGCTCGAGTTTTACATGAAAAGTACTCAAGTGATCCATTAAAGAGGTAAGCATTCCCAGAAAGGCAGGCACCTTTGTAGTCTTCAGAGCTGATCTAATACAAACCTACATCATTTATTGGTAGGTCTGTATTGGTCTGAATTTATATATAGAAAAGTACAGCAGACTTTGGCTAAAGCCATATATAGAGGCTACCCAAGGCCTTTTCATGTCTAGCCGTGCTCTTTAAGGTTTGCAACTAAGCACTTCTGTTTTCACTGCTTTACAGGAATTTGCTGGCCTGACCAATTCAACCTCTTCCAGTTTCTACAGCTGCAGGAAATACTCTCAAGGAGAGACACACAGCTCATCACACCTGAAAGCATACCACAGTACTGGTTTTGAACACCAAGACACAAATTATACAGCCAGTTCTCTGTGAAGCCATCCCGTAGGTAATGAAAATAATATTACAGTATTCCAAAGTGTGCTATGCACATTACACCCCGCTTCAAAGATGTGCTTCAGTAGAAGAGGTAGATGGTTCTATGGAATTAAAAGCTCAGTATCAAGAATAGCTGCAGTAAGATCAAATCTAATGATGTATGAAATTCCATATAACTTTAAAGCACAGAAAGAAGCGTAAGACAACTCGGAAAAGGAGTAAGAGTGAAAAAGGTTGACACAAATAATAGAGCCCTGACACAGAAAAATGACATTCCAGAAACAGCAATACAAGGACTCTTTCACTGCAGAAGAGCAAAGGTGACCAAAATAACTCCCTTTGAATTATGAAATGGAAGATTACTTCTCATACAAATATCTTCTCTGCCCTCCAAGTAAAGAGTTGCAAAATAAAAGCAATGTCACCTGTACTCATCTGCTAATTCTACCTATAGATGACTTAATATACTCAGAGATCTCAAGTTCATGTTTTAAAGCTACATTTAACAAGCGGATGTTTCATCTAGAAATGCCCAGTGAATACTCTTTAAACCCTGTAAATATGCAATCTTATATAAGCTGGTACTGGAAACCTTCACACACAGATAATGTGCAAGGTTATGCCCCTACATCTATCTTTCAACTCTCTCACTACTCCACTGATACAGGCAGTGTCTAAGTAGGAAGTCATTACTCCCCCCACAACAGACTGACAACAGAATCCCCATGTGAGTCCTCTTTTGAGATTACATAAACCCTGAACTCACAGAGCAATCCTTGTATTAAGAAACACCCAAGGAAGTACTTCATTTTAGAGCTCTTCAATGTATTTTCAATTTCAGAAGAATTTAGTAGAGTAAATCAAAACTTACACTGTTGAAGGAAAACTCTGGTACCAAGAAGATGTAATTTACACCTCAAGCATTAACATTTTCCTTATGTTCATGTACCTGATAGAGCACCTTTTCCCTCTACCAATCTCTAGTGTGAATTGCTTACTATGGCTATGGCTTGCTTTCTGTCTTCTCAATAACGTTATCAAATATTACCAAAATGTATCATGTTATAGTATATAAAAGTGGATTCTGTAATAAAGCTAGTAGGATGTCTGTTGCCTTTGACACTAATTCTAGACAGTTTGCTTGAAAAACAACGTGAATGAGTACAGCACCTTTAATTTATTAAGGTAGCGTCTTGTGTGAACAACCAAGAGATCTTCATCAGTGGCTTCCCGTGCCTGTACAATCAAGTCATCTGCAATTAGTTTTTCTTCTGAAACAGGAGAGAAATATCAATTGGCATTGTATACCATCACTTCCCATAGTCCACCCTGCCAAAGAAGCTACTTTGACCTTGATGTAATAATTTCATCTGTAATTAAATCACTGAAATAACTTTTGTTCACTCATTGTTCACAGACTTTCCAAATACAGACCCTCCACACACATAAGCTATTAGGGTAGTGTGTATATGGTAGACAATGTTCGCAGGAAGTTTTCAGAGTGTAACCACAGTAACTTCTTGTTTAAACTGAAACAAAGGACAGGCAGTGACAGAGATGCACAGACACAAAAGAATCACAAGACTCCTGATAGTCTTGATACACTGGGAAAATCTTAGTGCTCATAGCAACAAATATTCACCACTCTTTAACATGCTTTAAGAAATTCCACAGCTGATGCTAGTATTTCATTCCCTAGACCAGGGAATTAAAAAAAAAAAAAAATCAGAACAAAACAATTGCTTGGACATTGATGGAAGCAAACACTTATGCTTAGCTAGGGTATTTCTGCCACACTTCTACCTTCATTTAATGTCAAGAAATACCAATGACCAGCTCTTAATTCTTCCCCTTAGAGACCAAAAGACAGTTTATTTTAAAACTTGTTTTTATAAGAGCAACTTATAAAACGTCATTCCAAAATCTCAGAACGTGATCACAGATCAATTTGAAGGCATACATCTGGATATCCTGCCAGGAAGTTCAAGTCAGAGTCAGCTTAACTAGCCCAGCAGTGCAGAAGAAGCAGGCTGCTTTGCATCTGATCACCCAAATGACAAACACAAGGCATCATACTGATCTCCCCAGACAAATGTTGATGCTGAACTGCTGCATAGCTGCAGCTTTCTAAGACTGTACCTCTTCTCCAATTTTACACTTGCAGGAGGAAGAAAACAACTCATACATGCGAAAGGTTTTGTTCTGAAGTGTTAGACAAGAACAGCACCTGCAACAATATTTGTTTTGGCATGCTCATGTTTCTTCTGACTGAGGCTTAAGAAACTTTTCATTCATTCATTCAGACAGACACCACAATGCTAACAGTGCCATTCCTGAGGAAGAAGGAAAGTGTGGAAAGATTCCCACTGGTGATTTTCTAGAAGACAGCAGGGCACAGATCACCTGTCACCAGGAGTTGCTGCAGAGCCAAAGAAAATCAGGAGTGCCCTGGGGTATCCTGTGGCATCTCTCTCCTTTACAAAACAAGGACAGGAAAACAATAGGAAAAACTGATTTTCTGTGAAAGACTAGGAGTAAAAAGGGGACATATCACTCAGAGAAGAGCTAGAGGAAAAGCCTTCCTACAGAAGGAGTAGAAAAGCAATAGTTTTGATTATTTAAGAAAATGGTCACAGAACCCAAGACTAAATTATCCAAGGTTGTTAGAGAGAAGATCCAAACCTCAGCCACTCAGTGGAGTGTTAACGTGTCGAACTAAGGTTAGACGAACACAAGGCAGCCTGAAGGCACAAAGGCAATACTAAACTGGAAAGATCATCAGCTGGAGAAGTCTTTAGGACCACATAAACGGAGACGCTTACGGAAGGGGCTTGGCTCTCAGATAACCTTAGCCTTGGCAAGGCAACCTTGGCCTTTTCCCTTGATGAGCAAGCTTGCACTTTAGGTGAAGAGATGTCAAAACTTTATGGGCCCTCATCCTAACCTTGCTTTTCTGACACTCGTATTTCTTTAATGCATTTCTGCCTATAACTTCCAATTTGTTTAAAGTAGCAACAACAAAAATCACAGAAAGTTCTGCCTATCATCAGAACTCTTCCCAAACATTAACAGAATAAGGCTGATAAGGAATGAACTTACACAAGCTGCACTTACCTTTCAGCCTGAAAAGCACCATTTGCCAACAGACTGTTCACAGCCTAGTTAAGTTACATCCCACAGCAAGCTGGTCGTTAACACCCATAGTTTCACAAGGAGTGCCCCAGTTCTTGCTACACCAGGTGTAATGGAAGCACAAGGAAGCTTCACACACCGCTCCCAAACTGCAATTCAGGTCTTGCAAGCTAAAACACTTATAAGCTTGCAGTGAACATAGGAAGGATTTTTCACTGCTATAAAACTAAGTCTGTGTTGTTTTAGACCTAGGCTTGGCCCTGAAAAGAAAGAAGAAATTGGAACTGCAAACAGCAGCTACCCTCAAAAGGAGACTTAGGGAAAATACTGCTCTTATACATTAATCTAGAACTGAAAGGAAGTGTTGGCATCATTAGAAATCTACTGAGTATGAAAACACGGCACACTGAGCTATGTCTGTGAGGCTCCAACATTCTGCACCTAACTCAGGCTGGGCTCAAACACAAGGTTCTGGTGCTCACTTCGGAGGTGGAAACAGTTCTCAAAACATCCCACATGAACATTTCCTGTAAAGGCCAAGCAAGGAAATTCTGCTCACTTCATGCTTTCATTCACAGAATCACAGAATCCCAAGGGTTGGAAGGGACCTCAAGAGATCATCTAGTCCAACCCCCCTGCAAGAGCAGGGCAACCTAGAATACATCACACAGGAACTTGTCCAGGCGGGCCTTGATTCAGCTTGCAAAGAACAGAAGTATGGTCTAAGATACTGCTATGCTCCCATTTCTCCATCCTCCTTTCTACTTAGTCTTGTAAAAGCTCTGGTCCAGACTGAAATGAACCGTATTAGTTATTCCGACTGGTATTATTCATGCCTCTATGGAGAGCAAATCATGTAATGGGCTTGAATTTTCAATCCCAGTTCATGAGTTTCACACTGCAGTGACACTGTGACTGAGCTGAAGCCAGACTGTGGGTTTAGTCAGTGGAGCGGGATAGAAAATACATTTTCAAAGAAGTTGAAAGGCCCTGGTGTAGGATGTTAGCTCTAACATCATAATTTCACCTCTTAAATACTTCATAGACAAGTTCTTCACCAACGTGTAACACATGACATCTAACTCACCTTAGAAATACTACAATCAATGTAACTTGCTAAGATTAAAGTGTGCAAATATGTAAGAACACCAAAGCACTCCAAACAGTATTAGAATGCAGCTTACGTCTACACAAGGAGCAATGAAGATGTACAGTCATTATTATATCAGCAATTATTAACATAAGCCTGAACTAACTGCAGCATTTCTGTTGGCTTTTGTGCAAATGTTGGTCTAAGAGGTACTTTCCATTGTTTTACCTTTCAGGAAATTGATAACTTTTCCCCACTTCCCTGCATCGAATGGATGCAGCTTCTCAAGTCCCATGAAGGTGATGTTGTAGTCGGGAGAATAGACGATAGGCCAGCATGCTGATGGGGGATCCTCATACAACTCAGTTCTGTGAGGCCTTGAAAAGTGAAAACCAAACTAGTCACCACTGGTAGCAACTGTGTCACAAAGTCGAATGTTTTTCTACTAAAACCCCAAATTAGAGTCATTACTAATACCGACTTTACATCAGGAATGATTCCTGAAGATGCTATGTCCAACAGTTACGGAAGAAAACGTAACACTTGGTCATTTAACTGGGCTTCAGCAGCAGGGTGTCAGGGAGAGGAACATCCTTCACCTCCAACCAGTACAGTTACACTGCTCATTAATGAGTTATGCATGCCCACTTCATTACAGACATTAATGTATGGAAACACTTGCTTCTCCCCACTTGTCTTTCAAGTCTATCAAGCAGTACCTCTAAGGTGGTGTGTCTAGTTTACAGACCGCGTAACCTTCAAACAACACATAACTAGCCTCACATGTTCAAGCCTGCATTCAAACACAACTAAAAAAGCCAAACCACACTGCTCCTACAGGACACCTCCACCAAAACAAGGCTGACAAGACTTCTAGGATCTTTTCCTTGGAGCAAGAGATTACTTTGTGACCAGCCCAGCAGATCGTGGGTTTGTACCTGCGTAGCATACAACCACACGACATAATCGCAGCTCTAGATCTCACGTGTGTAACCCCTACCAATGCTTTCTCTTACCCTCCCCTCCAACTTCGTGTACTCCCCACGTACAAGGGGAGGGAGCAGAGCCAGCTCGGAGCCCTCCTTCACAACCTGTCCACGGAACGGGCAAGCAGTGCTGTGACCTGCATTCAAAAAAGCGCACCCCCGGGGTTGGGTGGATGCCTGTGTGCTCACAGTGTCAGTGGGCAGCCCGGGCCCCAGGCGGGTTCTGTGCCCACTCTCAGCCCATTCCGCCTCCCTTCTCCACCCCAAGGCCCCTGTTCCTGAGCTGAGATCTCCGAGCCCCCAAATTTAGCTGAAGTTTACAAAAGGCTTCACAACTTACCGAGCAAGACAAAAGCATCTTTGTCAAGAGAACAATACAAACAGGGAAAAAAAAAAAGGCAACAAACCCTTATTTCCAGCCTAAAAATGCTCTAAACCACCCTTTTAAAATCCATCAAAAACCAAACAAGAACGCCAGACACGAGCACAATGGAGGTTTTCAGCCGCCTGCAGTCCCTGTCCCCATCCGCTGCCCACCAGCAGAGCCAGGGCTCGGCGGAGCCTTCCCTCCCACGGCGCAACAACAGGCGGCTCCTGTAGAACTGGATGTGCCTCCGGCAGCACCACGGCACCGGAGGCCCAGCGAAAGGGACCTTCCCCCGGTTCCCCCCCAGCGACCCGCACCCTGCTCTCGGCGGGGGCCCAGCACACCCGGGCCAGGGCCACTGGGAGCAGGGCAGAGCGGGGCCCTCCCCGTGTTGGCCTCAGGCCGGGCTCGGGAGGCCTAAACCCCGCACCTGTCGGGCCGGACCGCGGCGAAGGGAAGCGGCGATGCCGCAGCCTCAGTCCGCCTCTCCGGGCCCACCTCAGGGCTCTGCCCCGGGCAGGGGCGGGCCGCGGGCCCCGCAGTCGGGAAGGCCTCGCCGAGCCCGGCCGAGCCCTCCTGCAGCCCCGAGAGCCCCCGGCTGACGGAGCGCCCGCCCGTACCCCGAGGCAGCCCCGCGCCCTGCAGTACTCACATCCCCCCGCCGCGCACGGAACGGGGCGCCCGCGGCCCGGCACCGACAGCCCCTGCGGCCCCGCCCGGCGCGGGGCGGGGACACGGAGCGGCCGGGCAGGCGCGGGGCGGGCGGACCGAGGCCCGGAGCGGCGGCACCAGCGGGGAGCCCCAGCACGGAGAGAGGGGAGGTGTGATGGTACATTGGCGGCTGCTGCCAAGGGTTGGCATCAGGGAATGATGCCACAGAATCCCAGCCTGGTTTGTGCTGAAGGGAGCTTAAAGCTCCTCCAGCCCCAACCCCTGCCACGGGCAGGGACCCCTTCCACTGGAGCAGCTTGCTCCAAGCCCCTGTGTCCAACCTGGCCTTGAACACTGCAGGGATGGGGCAGCCACAGCTTCTCTGGGCACCCTGTGCCAGCGCCTCAGCACCCTCACAGGGAAGAGCTTCTGCCTAAGAGCTCAGCTCAGTCTCCCCTCGGGCAGGTTCAAGCCATTCCCCTTGGCCTGTCAAGGGCCTCACAACGATTCTACACAAACAATGTCTCTGGATGGGAAAACAGGATTCTTATTACAAAATAAAATCACCAAGATACCAGCAGGTGAGGAGTTATAGCAGGTCAGCAGCAGCATGAGGGAAGCAAATGTGAAATAGTGGTGGTACCTAACTGGGCAGCAGAACTCCCACTGGTTTTGTCACATCAAAGCTTCACCCCAAGAACACAATTGCTAATTCAGACACACAAGAATAATAAGCTCGTTTCAAGTCAAAAGCCAGTTTCTAAGTGTACTTCACTAACTCTGCTTGAATAGATACAAAAAGCATTTCTTATGCAGTTGTACAGCTAAATCGATAATACCCTTATGAAGAATGGTCCCTCAATAGCAGCAGTATCTGTCAAACCAAGGATAAATGTGCAGAAGCACTCTTTTCTCATGAGGAATAATGTCTCTTTATGAGAGCTCCAGATAAATGTCTTTCGTTTTAAAATATGCTGCCTTTGGCGTGGCATTCAGTTTTGATGGATGCCTGGACTTCACCTTGGTATTTATTCAGTAACGGGAGACTGTTATCCCAAGAAAACATTCTATCCCTTTGACATTATCTTTTAATTAACATTTCTTTTCGTTCTGGCCCTTTGTGCACTCGCTTCAGCTTTAGTTCAGCGTACCTACCTTTTCTTCCGTGTTACTGACGACTTACTGCTTGGTGCTTAATTAGAGCTTGAGTGTTCTCTGGTTAACTAGATACACATATAACACGGTGTTATTTCATTTTCATTTCAATTAACTTCTAAGCTTAAAATAAACTTGCAGACTAGATTCTGCATTTGTTGGATGTTGTAAATTGTTCTCATATTCACCTTCCCATTACTCATTCACATCTCAACTATGACACACACACTTCTCCACATGGCAAGTTTGCTCAATTACTTGTTTTTTTACCACCAAAAAAAAGAAAACTCCAGTGCCTTCTCTCTGGGTAGTCATGATGTGTGTTGCTTTCATTTCCCTCTCCTCGTGGTACAGGAAGCTGGGTTCCCACCTGCAGGAGGATCCCCAATGGGCCCCCAGTAATGACTTTCTGTTCCTGTGTCAGCAGCAGAGGGACACTCTCCTGGGCACACCCAAGGAAGTGCTGTGCGTGTCTAGCCTGATGCTTGATCACTCGTGCTGGGGTGAGGTTCTTTTTGTCTCCAGCAGAAACAGAAATACAATTTAGACATGTACCTGTTTCCATGTAGGACTCACTCTTTAACAGAAAATATTGTTTATAGCATGAATTTACCATCTAGGCATTCTGGGATTGTTAATTTTGATACCACCATGCTCCAAGGAACTGTCACTGCAGAGGCCAAACGCCTGAGGAGGCGCCTGCACATGGGCAGTCCTCATGGCAGAGGAGGTACACCCAGCTGTGGAAATATCTGCTTGTAGCTTCATTACAGCAACAAGTTTCTAACAGTGTTTAAACAAACTACATGGGGCCTAACACTGTCATAGAATCATCTCACAGACTGTTCTGGGTTGGAAGGGACCTTGAAGACCATCTAGTTGCTTAAAGCTGATCCAGTTCCAATCCCCTGCCACGAGCAGGGACCCCTTCCACTAGAGCAGCTTGCTCCAAGCCCCTGTGTCCAACCTGGCCTTGAACACTGCCAGGGATGGGGCAGCCACAGCTTCTCTGGGCACCCTGTGCCAGCGCCTCAGCACCCTCACAGGGAAGAGCTTCTGCCTAAGAGCTCATCTAAATGTACCCCTTTGTCAGCTTAAAGCCATTTCCTCTTACCCTATCAAGGGCCTTAAAGCGACTGTACACGAACAGTATCTCTGGATAGGAAAATAGGATCTTGCATTGCTGTTCAGTCATATCTTTTTGAGTAGAAAGGTAATTATCTCCTTATGAATTAGGCTCAAGATACACAGGAGAATGATCTGTGCTGCATTTTGGACATTCCTTGAACACCAGTTTTCTGCCAGCAGACTTTTCAAGGTGAATGGCTTGGGAAACCTTACAGTGTGGGAGAAGAAACAGAGGTGAGCAAGTAACAACGTTTCTGGTTCATTGGTCACTCTGAAAGAAACTTTTTGAAGAAAATTTGGGGTTCACATTATCTTTTTCCATCATTGGAATATTTAAAACGAAGTAAAATTTCACAAAATTCAATCTGTCCTGAAATTGTATTTTGAATACATAAAAGGGAAATATTTTTATTTAAAAACAAATAAAATTCAGACTCAAATCATTAACATTTGAATGAACACACATCCACACTGTGTGTTGGAATAGAATCATAGAATAGTTAGGGTTGGAAAGGACCTTAACATCATCCAGTTCCAACCCCCCTGCCATGGGCAGGGACACCTCACACTAAACCATATCACCCAAGGCCTTGTCCAACCTAGCCTTGAACACTGCCAGGGATGGAGCATTCACAACCTCCTGGGCAACCCATTCCAGTGCCTCACCACCCTAACAGGAAAGAATTTCCTCCTTATATCCAATCTAAACTTCCCCTGTTTAAGTTTTAACCCATTACCCCTTGTCCTATCACTACAGTCCCTAATGAACAGTCCCTCCCCAGCATCCCTATAGGCCCCCTTCAGATACTGGAAGGCTGCTATGAAGTCTCCACGCAGCCTTCTCTTCTCCAGGCTGAACAGCCCCAACTTTCTCAGCCTATCTTCATACAGGAGGTGCTCCAGTCCCCTGATCATCCTCGTGGTCCTCCTCTGGACTTGTTCCAACAGTTCCATGTCCTTTTTATGTTGAGGACACCAGAACTGCACACAATGCTCCAGGTGAGGTCTCACGAGAGCAGAGTAAAGGGGCAGGATCACCTCCTTCAACCTGCTGGTCACCCTCCTTTTGATGCAGCCCAGGATACGGTTGCTTTCTGGGCTGCAAGTGCACACTGCTGGCTTATGTTCATTTTCTCATCGATCAGCACCCCCACATCCTTCTCTGCAGGGCTGCTCTGAATCTCTTCTCTGCCCAACCTGTAGCTGTGAATAGCCCAACTTTGGCTGAAAGATATTTCCTTTAAAAGTTCTGTTGAATTCCAGTCTTTTCTTTACATATTTGAGAAGCAGGACAATAAGCACAAGCAGCAGCAAACATGAGAAAATGACCGAAGTCTCTTTGAATAAAGGCATGTACTCGTAACAAGCAGAAAACAGTGACAGGCCATACAGAATCACAGAATCCCAAGGGTTGGAAGGGACCTCAAGAGATCATCTAGTCCAATCCCCCTGCAAGAGCAGGGTAACCTAGAGTACATCACACAGGAACTTGTCCAGGCGGGCCTTGAATATCTCCAGTGTAGGAGACTCCACAACACCCCTGGGCAACCTGTTCCAGTGCTGTCACTCTCACAGTAAAGTTTTTCCTGATGTTCACATGGAACCTCCTATGCTCCAGTTTACACCCATT